CACAGTGTCGATATGTTACAACAGTGCCGATATGTTACCACAGTGTTGATATGTTACCACAGTGCCGATATGTTACCAGATGTCTTGATATGTTACAACAGTGCCGATATGTTACCAGATGTCTTGATATGTCACAACAGTGCCCATATGTTACCAGATGTCTTGATATGTTACAAGAGTGCCGATATTTTACCAGATGTCTTGATATGTTACAAGAGTGCCGATATGTTACCACAGTGTTGATATGTTACAACAGTGCCGATATGTTACCAGATGTCTTGATATGTTCCAACAGTGCCGATATGTTACCACAGCGCCGATATGTTACCAGATGTATAGATATGTTACAACAGTGCCGATATGTTACCACAGTGTTGATATGTTACAACGTTGCTGATATGTTACCACAGTGTTGATATGTTACCACAGTGCCGATATGTTACCACAGCGCCGATATGTTACCAGATGTATAGATATGTTACAACAGTGCCGATATGTTACCACAGTGTTGATATGTTACAACGGTGCTGATATGTTACCACAGTGTTGATATGTTACCACAGTGCTGATATGTTACCACAGCGCCGATATGTTACCAGATGTATAGATATGTTACCACAGTGCCGATATGTTACCACAGTGTTGATATGTTACAACGGTGCTGATATGTTACCACAGTGTTGATATGTTACCACAGTGCTGATATGTTACCACAGCGCCGATATGTTACCAGATGTCTTTATATGTTACCACAGTGCCGATATGTTACCAGATGTCTTGATATGTTGCAACAGTGCCGATATGTTACCAGATGTCTTGATATGTTACAACAGTGCCGATATGTTACCAGATGTCTTGATATGTTACCAGATGTCTTGATATGTTACCACAGTGCCGATATGTTACCAGATGTCTTGATATGTTACAACAGTGCCGATATGTTACTAGATGTCTTGATATGTTACCAGATGTCTTGATATGTTACAACAGTGCCGATATGTTACCAGATGTCTTGATATGTTACAACAGTGCCGATATGTTACCAGATGTCTTGATATGTTACAACAGCGCCGATATGTTACCAGATGTCTTGATATGTTACAACAGTGCCGATATGCTACCATATGTCAGACAGACAGACAGACAGACAGACAGACAGACAGACAAGTTTATTCAGGCCAAGGCCACAGGCCCATCATACAGTCATTTGCATATGATATAGATAGTTTATGATATAGCTACCATATGTCTTGATATGTTACCACATGTGTTGATGTGTTACCACAGTGCCGGAGAGCCGATATGTTACCATATTCTCTCAAAGCCATCATTTTGCGGTAGTATCGAACTTCGGATAACCCGAAGCAATGGAGGTGCCCCCACTTAATGTACTTCCGGTTTCCTTTCATCTTGTTGAACCCCTTAGTATATCTGGTACCAGCTCGTTGTTTCCGGTTATCATAACTTTTGTTCATCAACATGGTGCCAAGAGTCCGGTCTGACATCATATCAATAGTTACGTATCCGGGCGATGATTTGGTTGTCCAATGCTTGATCTCTATCACTCACGCTATGTTATTATTTCTGGGAAAACCTCATGTATGTCTACGTTGTAATACCGTAACATTAATTATCATGAATTTCGTAACGAGGATTGCAGGTTACATCAGTGTTCATTTCGAATTTCACTGTTCACTTGATGCGGAACTGTTACTTTCTGTGAAATTAACCCAGATTCGAAAAGCCAATCTAGAGTTTCAGTTACGGAACACCGATTAAAATACAGGATTAGAATACATGCATTGTACGATGATTCATTCCCACAATAAAATAAGCGTCCTAAACAGCATAAAGGGAAAAGAATTACACAGGAAGCTTGCAATTGAAATTTTGAAAAACTGTATTTTAAACTTATCACGTGTTTTATAATTTTTCATTTTGTGTCCAGTTAAAAAAATCCGTTTAAAATCGACATGCACACAGATATTTAAGGTCAGTCGTACATCGCTGTGCAGTGAGCAAATTTATGGAATATTTTCAATAGCCGCCAAGATTTACGCACAGCATCATGAGATCGCTGAAAACGTGCGCTTTGCTTGCTGTCGCCCTGGACATCATTCGGTTTTCTTTCAGTTTTATTTGTCACATCTGAAAATAATCATCTTATTCTTCTCAAAATTGGAAGTATGGTACAAACCCGAAATATGAAGTTGATGATCGCGAATTTTCAAATAAGATTACCAGATAATAGTCTGATGACGAGGCCCAATGGATTATGAAATTAACCTGTGAAATGTAACTAACTGAACGGAAATAAACTTAAATAAACTTCACTAAACGAGATGTTCGTCATGAAACGTCCGCCGCCGTTAATGTGTGACACATGGAGGTTGCCCGACACAATTGGCGACCCATACAAATACCAGGATCCGCTGTTTGTTCGCTCTCATTTAATCCGAGGTTTGTCAGTTCCCTGCCCAAAGTGTTCTCGGGTCGATGTTGTCAGTACACCCTTGCAAAGCTTATACGCTGTGATGTTAACATTAATTAAAATTGTTCAAAGCGAGACCGGGTTAGAATTGGTGTTCAGCAACCCGTGCTTGTCGTAAGAGGTTGACACATGTCATAGTATCTCAGTTGCTTAGATTGATGCTCATGATGTTGATCACTGGATTGTCTGGTCCAGGCACGATTACGTACACACCCCCGCCTTACAGCTGGAATATTGCTGAGTGCGGCGTTAAACAACAAAGAAAGAAAATAGGTTATCTCCAAGCACCAGCAAAGCTATATTCTGCAGAGTGTGCAGAACTGCTCCGAGATAACCTATCTACATGCGGTATTTCGTGAATGTATGCGGAATGTATGTAAGGTGAACTGTGGTGTTAATAAACGGTTAAGTCCGGAGGAATTCTTGGAATTAACTTCATCTGATTATTTATTTTATATACAGAATAACATTCCAGGCTTCATATCCTGGTCAAAGCGGACAATCTGATTATTATTACCCCGGATAACCCAAACTGCCTGTGAGGCGCTAGAAGGTTAATGTCCACATGACTTATGCCACCGGGTACCCATTTTCTGCTGGGTGAACAGAGGCAATTTTGAACAAACTCGAAAACCGCGTGCATTCCTTCCTAATCGATGGAATCGGTGCAGTAAGTCCATCATGGTAACCCCTTGGGGTTTGATTATATAATCTGTTAGAGTGAAAGACAACGGTGATGACTGGTAGCTTCATGCGCATTGTAATATATTTCTCTTTCACAACTAATATATTCGTTAATTAAAAAATACATCTTCATTCAAAAATATGTTATTTAACAATTTTGCCAAACAGTTTAAGAAACAGCGCCACTTGTTTTTGATTCCTCACATGGGTACAGTGTGTGAAGCCCATTTCTGCTGCTGGAATATTGCTAAAAGCGGCGTAAAAGAAAACTCACTCACGTGATTATTTACGAACCGTTGGATAGCTGGAATATTGTTGACAAACAAACACACTTTCGAAATATCACCATCATCATGAAGACATAGCCTCGCTTCCTCGAGATAAGGACATTAATGCAAGTCACTTCCCCCTCTGCCCACTGCCGTATTTCCAGCTACTTCCCTGGTAAATCTGCTGAACTCACATTTACTCCTCGGAACACGTGCTTCTCCTTATAGTGCGGTGAGTTACAGTATGGGCTGTTTGTTATGGAATAGTAATGATTAAGGGATTCTTTGGCATGGGTGTCAACTGGAAAATCCGTGATGCGGTCAGTGTGTTTATATGATGCGGTTAGCATCAACTTCCGACGCTTGCACCATCACCGCGACAAGTGATGCGAAGGTTGCCTGTGTGGCGTCAGTGAGGTGTTGCATTATCGTGTTGACAGTGTGATCGTTAGCATCAGTGAGTATGTTTTACAAGAAATATTTTGTTATGCATTGCTTTATAAGATTGTTTGTGTATTGGTTTATCTGTGTTGAAGGATTACCCGTCTTTGTGTGATGTTACGTATACGTATCTAGCATGTCTGTCTGTCTGTCTGTCTGTCTGTGTTTGTGTATTGGTTTATCTGTGTTGAAGGATTACCCGTCTGTGTGTGATGTTACGTATACGTATCTAGCATGTCTGTCTGTCTGTCTGTCTGTGTTTGTGTATTGGTTTATCTGTGTTGAAGGATTACCCGTCTGTGTGTGATGTTACGTATACGTATCTAGCATGTCTGTCTGTCTGTCTGTCTGTGTTTGTGTATTGGTTTATCTGTGTTGAAGGATTACCCGTCTTTGTGTGATGTTACGTATACGTATCTAGCATGTCTGTCTGTCTGTCTGTGTTTGTGTATTGGTTTATCTGTGTTGAAGGATAACCCGTCTTTGTGTGATGTTACGTATACGTATCTAGCATGTCTGTCTGTCTGTCTGTCCGTCTGTCCGTACGTATGTATGTATGTATGTACGTATGTATATTACACTTTTTGATTTGCTGGACGTAAGATATTGCCGTCATTCTTACATTGTACCGAAAATTCGAGATTTTGTATCGAAGACATTTTAAGCATGTGCTTAGCGCATATGAATTTGTAATTGTGAATTCCCTTATAGGCTTCTCTGTTTGTGTAATGAGACATTTCGTTGTCATTGGATACTGCGAGCTGACACAGCGCCACAGTATTGTAGAGACCCATCAACGATAATTGACTGAGTGAGTGAGTTTTGTTTTACGCCGCACTCAGCAATATTCCAGCAATATGGAGGCGGTCTGTAAATAATAGAGTCTGGACAAGACAATCAAGTGATCAACAGCATGAGCATCGATCTACGCACATTGGGATACGATTACATATGTCAACAAAGTCAGTGAGCCTGACCACCCGATCCCGTCAGTCGCCTCTTACGACAAGCATGGGTTACTGAAGACCAATTCTTACCCGGGTCTTAACGACAAACATTCCTTAGTTGTTTTCAGTAGTGAATATTGATATATATGTGATTGATTCTGTTCACAGGACTCTTTGCCTTCCATCTGGAAAAGCGACTCGAAGGAAATGCCAAGATTGAGATCTTCCTCGCTGTCCGACATTCTGGATGGGACGGAGGACATCAAAGATCCATCGAAGCCCAGAGGACCAAGTATGATAATACCTCTTATTGTTTATTAGGGCAACAACACTTAGTTTTTATGTACATTGTGTGTATCGGGTGCAGCCGTTTAAGATGTACTCATTTTGGAAACATCCATTGTCTTCACATGTTTTCAAATATCCATATAAATAATGTACACCAAAATGTTCCATCGTACTCCCATTGGAATCTGTTTCAGTAGGTTTGGTTGGTTGGTTCTTGTATAACGCTGCACTCAGCAGTATTCAAGTTATATGGCGGCGGTCTGTAAATAATCAGACAATCCAGTGATCAAATATCATGAGCATCTTGAGACGTATACACAATTGGTATACGATGACATATGTCAACCAAGTCAGTAAACCTGGCCGCACGATCCCGTTAGTTGTCTCTTACGACAAGCATGGGTTGCTGAAGATGAATTCCAACCTGCAACGGTCTGTCATTTTTTTAACATGCACATTGTTTTATTATTGTTATTATATTTTTTTTATTATTATTATTTATTATTATTTATTTATTTATTTATTTATTTATTTATTTATTTATTTATTTATTTATTTTTATTTATTTATTTTTTTAATTTAATTTTATTTATTTATTAAAAAATTGGGGGACTGGGGTGTGTGTGGGGGGAATCTCAGAGCAGTAAAAGTGTGCAGTCTTTCGTGTCTTTTGACTTACACATAATATAACTGAAATACTGTTCAAACGACGTCAAGATAAAACATACTCGTTCTCGTGTCTTGTTTCGGCAATTATGAGTTTGGGTGACTTGAAAAATTAATACGATCTAGAAACCTTTAGAATAGTCATGCGAAGGAAGATTCATTTGCGGCGGCCTACGTGAAAGTAAATCACCCCCTGCCAGTGTGAATGGGTAGAACATAACACAGTCAGTGGGAGAACCTCAGGAGATCAATAGGGTCACGGTGTCTCTACACTGTCTGGGTCATTCAGAATCTTGTTAGATCTACTTCTCGCTCGTTGGTCAGTTTAGTTTCGTTTCATTGGTCTGTAAGGTCACTCTGACATGACCCTTAACGTAATGTCACAGTAGGCTAGGATGCTAGTAACATCTGACTTTCGTGAGATTTTGTTACATAGAGTTGTTGATAAGTTGATAGTATGCCATAAATATGAAAATGAAAATCCAATCTCGTCGAGATACAATGACACAGATATTACTGTGACCACCTTAGTTCTTAAGCAGGGACTTACGGGCAGTCTCCTTCTCTCAGAAAACCGGAAATGGAGTCATTAAACCGGAAGTGCTCATAGCTCTGTGATTAAAATAGCTATAGCGTCTGCACTTTCTGTTTCAAAGTTGTACTGCATTAACATTATTTTCCAACGCGGAAGTGCATATCATTTTCCTTTAATGCTGTTAAGTTGTAAATGACTCTTTCTATAGTCACAAGTTAGTGTCATATATTAGACATGTTATTCCCGAAGCCGAACTGATCTCACTAAACTGGTAATGCTTAAGACTCCCTATCAGCTGTCTTGGTTTGCACAGGTCATCGTATCCCAGTTGCGTAGATCGATATTCCTGTTGGTGATCACTGCACTGTTTGGTTGCGTTTTCGTATTTATTTTTTGGATTTGGTTGTTTAACGCCGCCCTCAGCAATATGCCAGCGGTCTGTAAAATAATCGGGTCTGGACCAGACAAGCCAGTGATCAACAGCACGAGCATTGATCTACGCAACTGGATACGATGATATGTGACAACCAAGTCAGCGAGTCTGACAACCCGACCCCGTTAGTCGCCTCTTACGACAAGCATGGGTTGCTGGAGACCAATTCTAACCAGGATCTTCTCGGGTTGTTTGGTTGCAGACTCGAATATCTACAGACCGCAGAGTAAGGCGTTAAATATGAAACAAACAAACTAAGCTGTACTTAACAAACTAAACTGTATCTAACAACCTAACTGTACATTAAACCGGAAGTGTTGTCATCATACCGAAAGTGTTAATAACGTTTTAGCACATAACTAAAGCATTCATCAGTGACATAAGCTTTTGAGTGAGTGAGTAGGTTTGGTTTTATGTCGTTGTTAGGAATATTCCATCCATATCACGGTGGGACACCAGAAATGGGCCTCACACATTGTCCCCATATGGGGAATCGAACCCGGGTTTTCTGCGTGACGGGCGAACGCCTTAACCACTAGGCAACCTCACCGCCCCTCATAAGCTTATGACATAAAAACATTTATACCATACACCAACAGCATAAAGATCAATTAGATAACCGGACGTGAGTCCTTCGCCAGAGAGGGCGGATTACTTCGAAAGCTAAATTATAAGTGACATTATACACATTATACCAGATATATAATCAAAACACGTTTCGAGTATGTTTGGAAAGTATATTATTCCCAGGAAATAAATATCCAAAAAAGTTAATGCGCACGAAAACGTGTAAGATTTCGATAGGTTTCTGATGTTATTTTTAATTAATATATTTCTTTAAAAGGAAACAGTTATGTGAAAATGATAAATCGAATTCTTCACCCATTTTTTTCCATTCTGTTTAATACGAGAAATATAAACCTCGCCATGCTTGTTATTCGGTACATGTTGGGCATATATGTAACAAACTAGAGATGTCCTTACACTAGAAGTGTCTATAACGTTGTTATTATGGTTTTTAGGGGCTCATCTTGAAAAAGACACGGTTCTTTCTAGCCTAGTGGTTAAAGCGTTTGCTCGTCACGCCGAAGACCCGGGTTCGATTTCCCACATGGGTACAATGTGTGAAGCCCATTTCTAGTGTCCCCCGCCGTGATATTGCTGGAATATTGCTAAACGCGGCGTAAAACCATACTCACACACTCCCCAGTGCAGTGTATGTTGCGGTCGTGTACGTATGTTTAACCACAAATACTTTTCACGTTTCAGAAATATCACGTGACCACTGGGAAAAACGTCGGTTGGTTCAGAAGTGCAATGACTGCAACAAACAAATTCATCTGGTGTTTCGACAGAAGCATTGTCGAATGTACGTACACCGTTTGTCTCGAATTACAGTCATGCTCGATGACCCTTAAACTTCGATTTAGCATGTGTCGCTTAAAAAAATTGAAAAATTGTTAAATTAATTAAATGTTTTGAAAAATGATAGTGGTTACAATGTGTCGTCGAAACACAGATTGTCTAACTAACAAGATGGATTTATGATCGATGATCTGGAACGTTTCGAGTTATTCAGGTTTTACTCCTTCTAGAGGATGCTGATAAAATACCCAGTAGAACCGTTGTATGTGCCCTTTGTTTGCCCTTCTGCGGTAATTGGAGAAGTTTCTATGCTGTGTTTGTTTGTCGTTTAACGCCGCAGTCAGCCATGTTCCAGGTTTATGGCGGCAGTCGTTAAATAATCGACCAGACAATCCAGTGATCAACATCGATCTATGCTATTGGGATACGATGACATGTCAACCAAGTCAGCGAGCCTGACCATCCAATCCCGTTGTTCGCTTCTTACGACAAGCATAGGTTACTGAAGACCCGGATCTTCTCGGTTGTATTTTATATTGTCATGTCATTGAATATAAAGGATGGCCTTTATTGCAACTCTGGTATTTTGTCATTACACCAGGTGTGGTAAGATATTTTGCCTGCACTGCAGTCGTTACCAGCGACGTTTGTCCGACGACGCCTCGCCGAATCCTGACGGCAAACTATATCGGGTAAGTGGAGTGGCCTTATTGTTTTCACAACAATGGCGGCACCTGCAGAAAGCCTTAGGCGTTTATATTAGGAAAAAAAACATATTACCTGTGCCTCTGAGTGAGTGAGTTTAGTTTTACGCCGTATATCCGCTTAGTAAATGTCAACCTCACAGAAAATTTCACTGAAGGAAACCCGATGACGTCATGGATTCAATTTCCCAGGCCAAGAGCAATGAGAGACGTCATAATTGAATTGTATTGAACAATTAGCTCTGTGACATCACATGGCTTCAACCGACCGATCAGCATTTAGAATCGCTAACATGTACACGTGATCTCATCGGAAATTTATCACAGCTTAATCACGAGAGACGTATATCCGTATATCCTATATCTTAGCCAAGTAAACCAATGGTTGATAACACGAACAAAATGTTTTGCCAATCATTGATGGATTCTTGTGTCCCATGCCAATGCTTTCAGGTTGATTACAGTATGCAACTGTGACCTGTTATTGAGTGAGTTAGCGAGTGAGTTTAGTTTTATGCCGCTTTTAGCAATATTCCAGCACTATCACAGCGGGGCACACCAGAAATGGGCTTCACACATTGTACCCATGTGGGGAATCGAACCCTGGTCTTCGGCGAGACGAGCGAACGCTTAAATCACCAGGCCACCCCACCGCCCCTGACCTGTTAGTGAATATTGGCAGTACTTTATCATTTTTGTGGCATTACTATCATTCTTTACCAGAGTATATGATATATTGTCTATGAAGAAACCATCATATTGTACGCGCAGAAAAGTGAACTCTTTTGGGATTGATTGCAAAATGGGTATTAAATGTAATACAGGTGAAAATGAAAATTGCTAGAGACCAAATTACTTCACGACCAAATACATCATATATGCAAGCAAGAACTCTTTAACAAATTTTGTTTAAATTTTCACTCATTGTTTAGTTAATAACTTTAGTTTTGTAGTGTTTGTTTTGTAGTTATATAATCATGATGCATTCATCTGTAATATGCAACAGAAACAAATACATAAATTAACTTAAAAAAGAATAATAATAACAGAAAATGGAATATTGCTTTTGATGTCCAGGTGTGTCTCCCATGCTACAAAGAAGGCGAAGACTTGGCGGTGGGGTGTGTGAAGTCATGGACGCAGGATTTCTTCAACATGAGGTCGGCTGCGCACTCTAGAAAATTCCCTGAGGGAAAGGAACCGGAACTAAAACTTTTGTAAGGCCCCATTTTTCTCACTCACTCACTCACTCACTCACTCACACTCACTCACTCACTCACTCACTCACTCACTCACTCACTCACTCGAATGAAGAACAAAAACCAACGCTTGGAGGTTGTCTTTGCGGGAATTTGATTCTTTGAAACAGCCCCTGGTACTCGTCTCCAGATCATTCTGTCTAAATCTAGTACATGTCTAAATATAGAACACCACTGTCCCTCACTGACTCCACAGGTACAATGAGGACCTCATAACACCCTCACCCACTCACTCACCCACTCACTCTCTCGCATAAAAACATCTAAAACATGAACAAAATGTGGCTTTACATGTCCATGTAGTCAGCTTATAGAGCGTGTGCACAGACTATGCTAGAATCGCTCTAATATTACAACCCTGCCAATGGAGCAGTGTGCACCCGATTTTTATGATCTCAGTATACCACTCAGGTTTTCTGAGATTAGAAAGTTATTAGGAAGTAATCATTCACATTATCATCTTCATAGCCTTTCGGTTTCATTTGTATCTGAAATATTGTACCCGTGAAGATCCGGGGTAGAATAGGTCTTCAGCAACCGATACTTGCCACAAAAGGCAACTATGCTTGTCGTAAGAGGCGACTAACGGGATCGGGTGGTCAGGCTCGCTGACTTGGTTGACACATGTAATCGGTTCCCAATTGCGCAGATCGATGCTCATGCTGTTGATCACTGGCTTGTCTGGTCCAGACTCGATTATTTACAGACTGCCGCCATATAGCTGGAATATTGCTGAGTGCTAAACTCACTCACTCACTTGTTCCAGATGTGAGATACCAAAGGTCTGTCAGCCAATTTCCGATATGTTCCTCGAGGACATCTCCAAGAGCAAACAGATGAAGACAAAGCTGCATAATGCTGTTAAGGTAAGAAAAAATGAATGAATGAATGAATGAATGAATTTTAATATGTTAAGATATCATTACCATATCCCAAAAATGACCTTTGTTTGGTTTGTGCTCAAAGTATACTTACTTCTATATAAAGTTGTATTATTAAAAATATTATTTGATTTAAAACGTTTGATTTTTTAAATACAGTGTATACGCATAATACACAACTGCAGATGGGCATCTTGAACTTTGTGTCTTTAAAATTATACAGCCAGCCACAAATTACACATTTCAAACTTGGCATGGTCATGTGGTTGCAAATTCAACCTATGTATTTTTGCATATAAATATCCATCCTTGTAGAAACTGTTGCAGTAATAAGTAACATACCAAGTTTAACCACAATTCTTTGATCCCTACCCTAAATATCTCATAATTCTATTTAGCCTGAAAAATTCGATTTTACTGGTTACGTTTCATTCCAAAGTTACATTTTTCTATGTAACCTATGTTCGCCATTCGTCAGGTATTTTTTCAAGTGAAAGACATGATTATACTCTGTACTTCTTATATTAAAATAGACACGGATGACCCAATCGTCCATGGCGACCAATTCGCATTGCAGAGTTGCTTCCCTTAGGCGCCCCAGCAACCTACGATTGTGGTTTCAAATCCTAGTACAACAGGACTATATTTCAATGTATGTCAGCTTCTAGGCCGTGCTCGTGGTAAACATAACGCATTTCTGACCTCTGTCCTCCCACGCGAGGTGGTATAACTGAAACACTGTCCGATACGACGTTAATACCCACCCACTCAGTCAGTCGTGACATAAAAATTGAAAATAACAAATAAATAAAAAAATTCCTGATATCTATTTCTGTAAATAACGAGACTGACTGACTGACTGAGTTTGGTTTTACGCCGCTTTTAGCAATATTCCAGCAACATCACGGCGGGGGACACCAGAAATGGGCTTCACACATTGTGCCCATGTGGGGATTCGAACCCTGGTCTTCGGCGTGACGAGCCAACGCTTTAACCATTAGGCTACCCCACCGCCCCGTAAATAACGAGAAGCATGATTTTTTTGCTGCAGCCGAAGAACGGTTTTAACATTTCGTCCGTTGTTAATCTGTATAGCATTACACATGCTCTTCAATAGAAACAGGAGACAGAGGTAGTGGTATGAACTGTGCATTGTAGATATGTGAATATGACCTGTAGATGTTCTAGTCAGACAGAGTCGTTGTTGATAGCGTAACGTGATGATGCTACGTGCTGTCGATGACACATTCAGCATATTATAACCACCTGTTTCCACAGTTATTAGTTACAGTCGCTCGTCGCGATGACAGTATGACATTAGTCAGCTGTAACTAATTCTAGTACATTCTGGTGTGTACTCTCTCTCTCCACCAGGTGGTCGTTCAGTATAATAATAGTTATGATAGTAATAGTCCGCTTATGTGGCGTTCATATCCAGGCACATTGCCTGCTCACGGCGCTAAGTACATTACTATCCCCGGTCATAGGTCACTATCGTACTTTCCGATACTTTTTTTTAACTCCCTGGGGATCATACAGCCATGCTGCCTGTTAGGCGCAATAAACCAAACACTCACATTCCCAGCACATCCTCACGGGTACCCATTTTACAGCTGGGTGAACTGAGACAATGCGGATCTAAGTATCTTGTCCAAGGATACTCCGCATATGTGCCCACCTCGCTACCCAATCTAGGCCGTAGCGGCCGCTGTTTTCTACGCTTTAAACAAAATGTAGATCTACCATCCGATCGGTGACTAATATCTACACTTTCCTTCCCAATGCTTTCAAGTGTTCTTCCGTCCGTTATGACTTCTAAAACCGTGAACTAGTACTGTTTTTAACTGATGCATTGTCAGATGTACACAATTATGGTTTCCATTAAAGGTGCCCCCGCCGTGATATTGCTGGAATATTGCTTATAGCGGCGTAAAACTAAACTCACTCATTCACTAACTCACTCACAATTATGGTTTAGGGTAGATGTTACTGGTAACACAGAAGCTTCGCCACATCTATCTATCCCCTAAATATGTGTAAATACAAAAAAAATACAAAATATTGCTGCGAGCAGCGATGTTGGCTCCAATCTTTAGTGAGTGAGTGAGTTTAGTTTTTAGCAATATTCCAGCAATATATCAACCTAGTGGTTATAACTATTTCTCATATTTCTGGGGCTGTAGGGTAGCCTAGTGGTTAAAGCGTTGGTTTGTCACGCTGAAGACCCTGGTTCGATTCCCCGATTACAATGTGTGAAGCCCATTTCTGCCCATTTCTGCTGAAAGCGGCGTAAAACTAAACTCACTCAATCTCTTGTTTCATGAACACATGTTCACGATATAATCATAGTGTATATCGACTTTGCTTTCAAGGGTGATTTTTGTGGGTGTGGAGAGGGCTTTGTCGATTATATTCATAAAATACATCATCATCATACTGTTAGCTCAGAGGCCTGCTGATCTGGTTTTATTGTATGAGGACGGTCTATAAGTAATCGAGTCTCTTGGCTGGGTATCATCATTTAGAACAAGGAAGTTAAATGTTTTGCACACAAGGTTACGATATGTACACTTAATGAGGATTTATTTAGAATAAATATGACGCATCATGTCAATGTGGCCATTGATGTGAGAATGTGTTTCATTACTTCCTTGAATGTCCATTGTATACTATTCAAAGACATAAACTGTTACAAACTTCAGAAAGTATTGTTAAAATTAGAACACTGATTGGTATTAATTGTATCTTACGTGGCAATGCAGGTGTCTCATTTACGGAAAATCAGAATGTTTTCAAATATGTACATATCTATATCTCTCAAACAAAACCTTTTCTCAGTTAACTTCTGTTGTACACATCCTATCATTGGGAGGGGTTTTTTCTAAGCTAGATAACTTGTGTTCAATCTTATTCTTGAATGAATAAAATATGTTTCAATCAATAAACACAATCAAACCCCTCACTGACAAACCTGTTCGATAATAATTGATAGTAAAAACAATTTTGAGAAGAGAAGACAAGGTTCTATTTACACACAATCAAACTTCTCAGGAACGAACCTGTTCCAGGGTCACCCTACTCTACTCACTAGACAGTGGACTGTTCCATTATATCCATGGGTGTTACCCTAATTAGCATTCTATACTGATGTACAAAAGAAAGTACACACCTGGTGTTTTTAGGCTATTTAAACAACGTAAATATTTTGCTAGCAATGTTCCAATTGGGTACGATATTAGTGGTGTTTTTGCAACACGTACACAATGTGTGTGACTTGTGAGTGGCAATCAAAACATTTTTATAAATATTTCGCTGTTTTCAGGAAAACATTTTACCAAAGCATCAGGTGTGTACTTTCTTTTGTACGTCAGTTTAGTTCAGTGTCTGTCAAATGGGTGTCTGTCAAATTGGTGTCTGTCAATTGGGAGATAACGGTCCCTAGTATGTCTGGTGGTAAGACATCTAGTATGTCTGGTGGTAAGACATCTAGTATGTCTGGTAGTAAGACACCTAGTATGTCTGGTGGTAAGACATCTACTATGAGGATGTTCAAGGGGATGTCAACTGGAGTAAACATATCATTTTAAAGATATTGCCAGAGTTGGCATGTTGATTCGAGTTTTGTGGTTTTTTTTGGTTTGTTTGTTGTTGTTTTTTTGCCTTTGCATTGCAGGAGAACGGCGTTAGGCAACAACACTTAGGTTTTATGTACATTGTGTGTATCGGGTGCAGCCGTTGAAGATGTACTCATTTTGGAAAAATCCATTGTCTTCACATATTTTCAAATATCTGGTTTGTCTGGTTGGTTGTTGTTTAACGCCGCACTCAGCAGTATTCCAGTTATATGGCAGCGGTCTGTAAATAATTGAGTCTGGGCCAGACAATACAGTGATCAACAGCATGAGCATCGATCTACTCAACTAGGATGTGATGACATGTGTCAGCCAAGTCAGCGAGCCTGACACCCCGATGCCCTTATTCGCCTCTTACGACAAGCATGGGTTACCGAAGACCAATTCTAACGGGTGTTTCCGAAGTTAATTGAATTATACTCTAATCTAAAGTTTTGAATGTCAGTTTATAATTTCACTTCCAGATTGCCAAGAGAAAGACGCTCTGCAGCCAATGTGATAAGGACCTTTTCGTTCCTAGTGACCGGAAGCAGTGCGTGGTGTGTGACGAGATCTTCTGTAAGACGTGTTCCAGTAAGGACCTAGTGGTCTTCTACCCCCGGGGCGCTGTGCATCAGAGTGACGAGGGACGGGCTCGGCCCGACATGGACGTCATTCAGCCTGGAACGGTAAGACTTCTCTTTCCCATCACATGAGTTAAGTTTTGTTAGCTCTCCAGGACTGGAGGTCAAGGTGAACGTATAGGATGGCGCAGTGTCCGTCCGATCATTACGTTCTTCTTGGAAACAGCTGTTAGGATGAGGTTTTGTTTTGTTTATTTCTTTGTTGTTTAACGCCTCACTCAGCAATATTTCAGCTATATGGCGGCGGTCTTTAAATAATGGAGTCTGGACCAGACAGTCCAGTGATCAACAGCATGAGCATCGATCTACGCCATTGGGATAAGATGAAGATGAACTTGGTGAATGTCTAAAATCTGAATGAAATTTGTTATAAATAATTAAAAAGGACAAAAAGAATTGAAACAGATATCAATCTTATTCTGTGAATCAGAAGGCAACAAAAAACATGGCAATCCGAGCTTCTGTCCGGATTGTTCAAATCGAACTACGAAACTTTGCTCCAGGAGTTCAACATACGCTTTAGGCACACACGTAATCTGATATCTTTCTGTGATTACCCACCTGAATAAGAAACACAAGAAATTGGAGAAGCCTGATCTGGTTCATATTTACATGTTTGACTCAGAATGAGTTGTTAGATGTGGGTTTTAAGAATTCAAGGCCTCACTTCCTAACAGTTACATGTCAACTTAGTCTGTCGTACAGACCCTGAAGCAAATATATCCAAGAAAGCCCACACAAGTCTAGAAAATGTGGCAAGTCTAGATTTCATCACCTGATTTGTTTAGTCTCTGAAAATGAAGAAAGTCTCAGGGCTCCTTTTCATTATATTTTTTTTTTTACTATGAACTTTTTTCAGTAAAATATGTTCATTTCAGAGACTAGTTGTTAGTCTAATGTCAACTAAGCACCGATCAAAAAGTCATCTTAATATATCCACCTGGGGTTCATCTTCCTCAGGACGTATCAAAGATGGCGGAGATGTGGCGCAACTACCGCGTGTGTTGTGAGTGCGTGAAGTACGTGGGGCGCGAGCTGCGTGTCTTCCACTTCAACCTTGAGCTGCAGAACAAACACCACGAAATGATCGACATCAAGAACCAGATTGTGGCCATCCTTGAGCGAGTAAGTCACTTGAATGAGTGGGTGAGTTTTAGTTTTACGCCGCACTCAGCAATATTCCAGCCATATGGCGGCGGTCTGTAAATAATCGAGTCTGGACCAGACAATCCAGTGATCAACAGCACTAGCATTGATCTACGCAAATGGGATACGATGACATATGTCAACCAAGTCAGCGAGCTTGACCACCCGATCCCGGTGCCTCTCAAGACAAGCATGGGTTGCTAAGGATCAGCTCTAACCCGGGTCAAATCACTTGAGCATGTGAGTACGTGGGAGTGTCTTTTGACTTCAGCAATGCATACACTATTTTTTTTCAATACCCTTATGTGTAATGTTGTGACTTGGCTCGGTTTAAGTAAACAAGATAAAGACGCGTGGTTGTGTTGAAGATACCGAATCCTTGTTTAACACACTTAGCAATATCCCAGCTATATGGCGACGGTCTGTAAATAGTCGAGTCTTGACCAGACAATCCAGTGATTGATGTCATGCGCGTCCATTTTCACAATGACATCGTGTCATCGTATCCAGGATGTGTAGATCGACGCTCATAATGTCAATCACAAGTTTGCCTGGTCCAGTCTTGATCATTTACACACCAACGCCAATCCGGCTAGCACAAAACATTTTCGCAACTTTGTGGAAAGGTTGTAGATTGGTAACGTCATGACACAACGTTGTCACAACGTTAGTACGTCATTTTATAACGTTATGTCACAACCTAATAACAACGTTGCATATTTACGTTGAGGAATCATTATGCTTTGGGCTCCTCACAACGTTATAACAACGTTTCTTATAACTTGGTGTCACGATAAAGTTCACTGTAAAACGTTTCACTCTCAGATTCTTTCTTCACTATTCAGCTACAGCTTCAGAAAACACACGACCAAAACAACATGCAAATTGATGAATAAAGTGAATTTCTGCTTTATTTCGTATGTACTGTTCACTACTGGGAAAACTATTCAACTATTAACGTTAAAAAGAACGTTAGGACAACGTAAAAACCAAGTGAGCATCAAATAACTTTAACCTTGTGGCGACGTAAAAATGACGTATCACAACGTTAGGCCACAACCTAGTGACAACGTAAATGGGAGTCCACAGAATAACGTTGTAACAACGGAAGCATAACGCTGTGACAACGTTGTGACAACGTTGTGACAACGTGAAATTGTTAGCTGGGAAACTGACAGAATACTGCTGAGTGAAGCAACAACAAACAAACATTAGTAAAACTAGGGGAATGTTTTAAACTTTAGTGTGAGTAGGGGTTCACATGACTAGTTGGCGACGTTGGTTTCCGTTACGGAGGTCGTGCGGCTGATTTATTTATTTACTTCCCGGCAGACAGGGGAAAGCACTTTGTGTTCTGCTTTGTCACATAACATGCATGGGTCTCCATCTTTGTGTTAACAGGAGTCGATAACAAATGCTCACGTGGGGACGCTCCGTCAATCGTCATCTATGGACATGCTTGATGATGTGAGTAGATGTTGCTGGCGCTAAACTGACAGGGGTGTGGCATTCTTGATCTATCTGGTGAATGTAGATTTGCCAGATGACGTGATGAATGTGGACAATGTGAATATGGACATGCTTGACGAGGTGATCGTGGCATGCTTGAAAAGAGGAATGTAGAAATACATGTCAATGTGAATATGCACATGTTTGACGGGAGGATATGGACATGCTTGACGAGGTGATTGTGGATATGATTAACGAAGTGTTTGAGGAGGGTGAATGTTGACATACTTGAATAGTGAATATTGACATTTTTGGCGAATTGAATGTGGATATGCTTTACGAGGGGACTATTGACATGCTTGACAAGGTGATTGTGGACATGCTTGACGAGGTGTATCTCGACATGCTTGATGATGTGAAATTCAACATGTTTGACAACGTGATTGTGGCCATGCTTGACGAGGTGTATATCGACATGCTTGATGATGTGAAAGTCGACATGTTTGACAAAGTCATGGACATGCTTGACGAGGTGGTTGTGGGTGTACTTGACGAGGTGGTTGTGGATGTGCTCGACGAGGTATATATTGACATAATTGATGAGGTGATTGTGCTTGACGAAGTGAATCTGGACATACCGGTACTTGACAAGGTGAATATGGACATGCTTGACAGGGTGCTTGTGGATATGTTTGACAGGTGAATATGAAAATGCTTGACAGGTGAATATGGACCCTGCTTGTCAATCTGAATGGGGACAAGTAAATGCATAGTAGTGACGCTTGATTGACATGCATAACAAAGAGAATGAAATGTATATTTATACGTGTATTTCCCCAGCTCTTCAATGTCAATACTTTTATGTAACATTTCTGCTCCTGCAGCTTTCTAATCGTGGTGAGGACGACCCGTGGTCAATGTCTGAAGATGTCTTCCTCTCCTTGTGTGACGCAAAGGTATGACCACATTGATGACCTGTAACATAATGGGTGGCCCAGTCGTCTGAGGCATCGCAATTTACAGTGAAGAGTTGCGTCCCTTGGGCACGCCAGGAATCTATGAATGTGTGTTCGAGTTCCCCCTCTCATGTAATATCATGAATCCTTTTAGTGAATATTGTTGACGAAAGTCAACAAACCACTACCAAAATCACGTGTGTCTAGGCCAGACCATCCAGTTGTTGATTACACGAACCACGCGGTTGGGCACGATTACATTCAGCCCACTCATTTTGTCCATCCAATTCTCATTTGACGACAAATATGGATCTTGTTCTTCATCCCTAGAAAAACATCGTCCTGTCTGATTTCATCAATTAAAAAATGACTGGATTCCCTACTGATATAACACGTTATGACAGAGAAGTGAACCCGTGAAGATCCGGGGTAGAATAGGTCTTCACAAACCCATGCTTGCTACAAAAGGCGACTATGCTTGTCGTAAGAGGCGACTAACGGGATCGGGTGGTCAGGCTCGCTGACTTGGTTGACACATGTCATCGGTTCCCAATTGGGCAGATCGATGCTCATGCTGTTGATCACTGGATTGTCTGGTCCAGACTCGATTATATACAGACTGCCGCCATATAGCTGAAATATTGCTGAGTGCGGCGTTAAACAACAAACCAACCAACCAAACCAACAAAGTGAAGATTATGGAGGTCACCTGATGCCAAATTCTAAACACTAGCCTGACTATAATAATCTATTATAGCTACTTCTGTGATGGCAATGCTTTAATTCTTGCAGCAGCTGAAGGCTATGATTCTAAATCAGCTCTCAATGTTTCAAATAGAACTGGGGCAGTGGGGTAGCCTAGTGGTTAAAGCGTTTGCCCGTCACGCCGAAGGCCCGGGTTCGATTCCCCACATGGGCACAATGTGTACAGCCCATTTGAGGTGCCCCCCATCGTGATATTGCTGGAATATTGCTAAAAGCGACGTAAAACTAAACTTCAGTCATAGAAACCCGTTTGAAATGTTTCTGAACTATTAAATATCCGAACTATTTAATATCCGAAAGAGACTGACAACATGTTGAAACAAATTTTGTTTCAACATGTTGTCAGTCTCTTTGCCATGGCAGGATTTGTAAACAACATTCTTTCATATTTTCAGTTGGTGGAGGAGCGTGTTATCCAAAAGCTTTTTGACAGATATTATAAAAGATATGAAGAGGTGCGTTGTCTGAAGCCAGTTACCAGTACACAGGCCAGTCTTCAAAAGAAAATCATTTCGGTAGGCACAGAGTTATCTCCCGTCAGGGGTGACTATTCATCGTTTGTAAGCGGCGACTGGATATTTACTCGTCGACCGCGCACATTGTCATACGATGTTAACACCTAACTTGCGGTCGACAACCGTGAACGTCAGACAAAACGGCTGCCAAAAAGGGAGGGGCTTGAGTTCAAGATTCTAACGGCGGTTAAAGCCGCCGCTCGTCACTGGCAGCGCTGCCGCGGAAATGACAGGAGTCGTAGACGTTTCCAGTTTGGTGTAGTTGGTGCTGACAGTTCAGCCAACCAATGTCCATAACGGGTTCTAATCTAGGTGTAGTACCCAATATATTCGTAATCTACATCAAAACGTCGCCCTATGCAATGAACAAGAAGTTGTCATCCATAAAATTGTTCGCTTAATTTGTAATTTAATTAACAATGATCACAAAATGGGTTACATATTTTTTAATTATTACATAGTTTTGGAAATATTTTAAGGAATTTATACTCAGGCTATTTGTTTCAGTCCTCCACGAATTTTTACAACGAGACACGACGGAGTTTCCGTGACCGCTATACAAGCTTGAGCTCCACCGGAAGCAACAATCAGGAAGGACATCAATGACCGTTTCTACAACCCAACGAAGTGTTCAACAATCAGTTCATTCCATTCGTAACTACTTGTCCCTTTTCGTAATCAGAAAGAAGGTTACGGAAAGGAACGAGTTGTTACGAATGAGTCCATTCGTGAACCCATTCGTCACCACTCGCCCCTTTCCGTAATCTCAAGAAGCTATTCGGCTTGTCCCGGAATAACACGAGTTGGTCAAATGTCGTGAACCGTGACTACTCGTGTTATTCCGGGACTATCGTGTTACGGAAAGTGCCGATGAGGCACGAATGAAATCAATCCGAATCTTCCCGGTGAAGACCGAAAGGCGTGACTATATATACTTTAGGGCATTCCAGTGCAGGTGCATGTGATGAAATACACCTCAGCGAAGATTGTTTCTTCCCCGTGACTTGTCTCATACATACATAAAATAGTTGTATGGTAGTAGTTACCACAGTTTGTTGATCTGAACATGAAGCTCACCATAGTGATACTCTCTCTCTCTCTCTCTCTCTCTCTCTCTCTCTCTCTCTCTCTCTCTCTCTCTCTCTCTCTCTCTCTCTCTCTCTCTCTCTCGCACACTATTGAGAAAAGGAGGGGTGCACACTTTGTTTTCACCCGAGTTTCAATGGTCATTTAACAAACTTTCAGCACAAAGGGGGTGCTCACCCCTGCACCCTCTGGATCCGCCTATGGTAATTATACTTCATCAAAACAAAACGTCCATCCTTAAATGGAATGATACATTGCTATATATTATCCAGTTATGTCTACACATGAAGGACAACATGACAACGAAACACCAGCACGAACTCTATAGTCTCTCCACCGCGTAAAAACCCTTCAAGTCATCTGCCAATAATACTCATCTCCATCCAATTATTGTTATCATCACCTCTGCCATCAACACGATGTGGATGTTGTCGCTGCTGATGTTTTTATACATTTGATATACTATATACCGTTATCATCATGATATACTATATACCGTTATCATCATTATTCATTTGATATACTATATACCGTTATCATCATTATTGACTGACGTTTGTAGATGTAGATGAGTATTCTATATGAATTAAATACATGTGCCAACTACAATGTTGAAATGTTCGTTGTGCTTAATATTACCTAGAAATTTAGTCAGTGAGTGATTTTGTTTTACGCCGCTTTAGCAATATTCTAGCAATTTCACGGCGGGTGACACCAGAAATGTACTTCACACATTGTACCCATGTGGGGAATTGAATCCGGCTGTTCGGCGTGACGAGCATACACTTTAACCACTAGGCTACCCCGCCGTCCCCGAAATATAAGGAACAACATGGAGTGAGTGAGTGAGTGAGTGAGTATGGCTTTTAACAATAACATGGAGGCGACACCTGAAGTGGGATTCAGGCAATTTATCCATGTGGGGAATCGAACCCGGGCATGACGAGGTAACTGTTCACCCACTAGGCTACCCCACCGCCCCTGCAGGAGATCAACGGGTGAGAGAAGTCTCTCATTTTACAAACAGACTAGCGTTTCATTTATGTACATTTGGGGTTTATGCACACTTGAATTATACTCAAACGCAAAAGTTGTGACACAAGCAACAGACAGAATCAGCGCTAAGCATTTCAATTAGATTTCCTTTCTCCTTATATGGTCGCGTGAGGTGAACCTTGTAATTAAGTGTCAAGACTTTCTTAATTCCCGGTACAAGGAAAATATGCATTCAGGCATGCATATCTTATTCTGAATCTAGAAAACGAAGTTAATCAGTGTGTGCGTAATGTAAACGATAAAATCCACGCAGTTGTACAATGGTGGACAATGAGATTCACATGGTCGTATCTGGGACCTATGGCATCTACACGGAAATGGGAGTACAAAAAACGGGAATGTGTTCAGTGTGGGGTTTACAAAAATAGGGAATTTGTTCTGTGTGGGGTTTATTTTCTAAAGCGAAATTGCCGAATCGGGATCGTGAAGAAATTGAGGGGAGGTGAAATTGGGTTTATCGTCGTACTTAAGGATATTTCGCTCATATGACGACAAGCATGCGTGTGTATGTGTGGCTACTTGTACTAGCCTAGACTTCAGCTGGTTTTATAGTGCAAGCTCACTGAGATACCATGCCGCAGTTAAGCATGAATAACCCACTCAGACACATTATACTGACTCCGAGCCGACCAGTCCTCGTTTTACCCATAAATGCCGAGCGCCAGGCAGGGAACAACAAGTACCATATTTTAACGTCTTTTGGTATGACGCGGCCGTGGATCGAACAAGCGACCTTCCGCTCTCCTGGCGGAAGCTCTAACCACTACACCACGGAGGCAGTTGAAAAAATTAAGCGTTAATCGTCAATTAGACAGCTGACTGCCATGCCTCACGTAACCATGTTACAAGGTCGACGTCTTACACTATCAACTCCGACGTCACAGATTCGTGTTTACACTATCAACTCCGTCGTCGCAGATTCGTGTTTACACTATCAACTCCGTCGTTGCAGATTTGTGTTATACACTTTCAACTCCGTGGTCAAGCAGAATCGTGTTAGCACTTTCAACTCCGACGTCGCAGAAACGTGCTCTTACTATCACCTCCGACGTCACAGATTCATGCTCACACTATCAACCACCAATGGTTTCTCTCATCCAGAATCAACACTTGGATGCAATGGTAATTATATTTACTGCAACAAACTGATAAACTGACTCATTTATCTCAGTATCGGTCAACAGAAAAAGACCCACCCCAGCAACATGGTCAGTCATTATTTAAACAAACGTTTATATCAAGCTATTCCTTTGTATGACGTCCATCGAAATGTCAAACAATTATGTGTATCCACTTGTCTCTTTATACCAGTGAAGAGCCGGGTTAGAATTGATCTTTAGTAACCCATGCTTGTCTTAAGAGGCGACTAACGGGATCGCGTGGTCAGGCTCGCTAACGTGGTTGACAAACATGTCATCGGTTCCCAATTGCGCAGATCGATGCTCATGCTGTTGATCACTGGATTGACTGGTCCACACTCAATTATTTACAGATGTCTGCCATATAGCTGGAATATTGCTGAGTGCGGCGTAAAACTAAACTCGCTCGCTGACTTGTCTCTTAAGGGAAATGTCATAGACAAGTACCCCTCCATTACACATACACGTCACATCGCGTCACTATGGACCTCCAAGAGACTGACGTGTATGTTAAACCCAATTTCACCTCACCTTTGCTGCCATGCAGAGACTTTATACAGGCCTAGTAAGTGAGGTGAGGTGAAATTGGGTTTAACGTCGTGCGTGAGAATATTTCGCTCATATGACGACGTGCATGCGTGTGTATGTGTATGTGCGGCTGCTTGTACTAGCCCAGACTTAAGCTGGTTTTATAGTGCTAGCCCACTGAGATACCATGCCGCAGTGAAGCATGAATACCCCACTCAGACACATTATACTGACTTCGAGCCGACCAGTCCTTGTTGTACCCATTAATGCCGAGCGCCAGGCAGGGACCAACAAGTACCATATTTTAACGTCTTTTGGTATGACGCTGTCGGGGATCGAACCCGCAACCTTCCGCTCTCAGGGCGGACGCTCTAACCACTACACCACAATTAGCCAAGATCGAACAATAATTCAGATAATATACACGCTTGAAATAAATGAAGTACAATCAAATTGATTTTTCTTACCCTGGCCATTGGGATAGGTAACACTGTCGTCATTTGCTCCGTCTTTGTAATCAAGTATGAAGAGGGGAAAGAATTATTCAAGGGAGATAACTTATCTATCCTAGTTTGCTCTTCAATGCTATATTTTACGACACTTCAAAGTCAACATCTCGGCGAAATCGAAGATTTGTTCTGCTTCTTTTGAGTGAGTAAGCTTTTACGCCGCTTTTGGCAATCACGGCGGGGGACACCAGAAATGGGCTTCATACATTGTACTCGTGTGGAGAATCGAACCTGGGTCTTCAGTGTGACTAGCGGACGCTTTAACCATTAGGCGACCCCAGTGCCCCCTTTTTTACTATCCGGTTGTGAGATTGGATTTTAACGCCACATGGAACAGTATTCCAGTTATATGACGGCGTGTCAGCAAAACGTGGGAGGAAAACTTGGAGTAATGCCAGTCAAAGACGTTTACCACTTTCAGGAACTAAATCCATGTTGGCAAACCAAGAAGCATTATCAGTGAGTTTTACGCCGCACTCAGCAATATTCCAGCTATATGGCGGCGGTCTGTAAATAATCGAGTCTTGACCAGACTATCCAGTGATCAACAGCATGAGCATCGATCTACGCAACTGGGATACGATGACGTGTGTCAACCAAGTCAGCGAGCCTGACCACCCGATCCCGTTAGTCGCCTCTTACGACAAGTATGGGTTACTGAAGACGAAATCTAACCGTTAACATTATCAGGACCAGCCGGGATTCGAATTAACACGCTATCGTAGGTTTCTCGCCTGCCCAAGGGACGCAACTCTGCACAGAGAAAAGCGACGCCTTTCACGACTGGCAGTCGGTGCAGTTTACAATGAGCACCCTCTGTAGGAGATCAGAGTGATCGTCAATACTACCAGAGACATACACTGACATATTGTCCCTGATACTACACGATGAACACTAGTAGTGTACTACACTCTTCAATGTGTAAGTATGGTTTTACGCCGCTTTTAGCAATATCCCACCAATACCACGGCGGGGGGACACCAGCAATATCCCACCAATACCACGGCGGGGGGACACCAGCAATATCCCACCAATACCACGGCGGGGGGACACCAGCAATGGGCTTCACACATTGTACCCTTGTGGGGAATCGAACCGGTGTCTTCGGCGTGACGAGCGAACGCTTTAACCACTAGGCTACCCAACCGCCCCCACTTTCAATGGAGTCCATGCGGTATTGACAATGTATGAGCGAGACATTTGTTATAACTGTCAGCATCGCATCAATAATTCATAACTAATCCAATATTGTTCACGTTATGGGCAACCCTTCAAAAATTAGATACGCAAGTACTTTATTTTCAATTACCCATAATTCCATTTTCAGTTACCCATAAATCCCAAACGTGAAACACGACTTCCTGTGAAATAAAACAATATGGGGATGTTGAGTTCACCAGAGACCATATAATAGATGGTCTCTGAGTTCACCAATAGAAACAATACACGGAAGTGGTTGCTGCAGAATTATGATACATGATTTCTGTCATTGAAATAAATTATCATAACCTTTCCGGCATTTGTTTATCTGTTTCGGAAATGCGTATCTTAAGACGCCTGTTCGATTCACTTCCGGGTTCCTTACACCAGTTCAAGTGGATTGCAAGAACGTTTCAGTTTAACTTCACCATTGGATATTCGACTTAATGACATGATGTAGACTAACATCTAGTCTCTAGAATAAACATATTTTACACAAAAATAGAATATATTCATAAAATCTAATAAAAAAGAGAACAGGGATACTGACTTCATTTTCAGAAACTCTGGTAATCTAGACTGGCCACATATTCTAGACTTGCATGGGCTGCGTTGGGTATATTTGCTTCAGGGTCTGTATGACAGA